ATTCTATTCTATTCTATTCTATTCTATTCTATTCTATTCTATTCTATCCCATCCCATCCCATCCCATCCCATCCCATTCCATTCCATTCCATTCTATTCTATTCACTTGGTGGTGTCCCATATGCACCGTGTCCATCAAAAGATTGCCTCACAACACATCAGGAAAATCCTGCCATTCCTTTGCAAGAGTCACACACTTTTGGTTGCAAGGTATATGATGTATGTATGTATGTATGTATGTATGTACAAGATCTGTGGATTTTATATTCCATAGTGAAGCTACTTGAAATAAAATGCAGTGGGATTAACTTGGAAATGTCCCTACCATCTGCCGTATTGACTTTGATTATGACTTCTCTAATAAATTCTTACTTGGATGGACTTTGTCTCTGAGTGCTGAATTTGGGATGGAGAACTTTGTTGGAATGCTGACATGTATCCCTAAAATTATAATTTTCTTATAAAGAAATTCTGACTCTCTTTGTCATTGCTTTATCCATAGCCATAACTATTGCCTTTATTCTGGGAATCTTCATTAAATACCGAGAAAGTCCTATAGATAAAGCCAACAATCAGAAACTCACCTACATCCTCCTGGTTTCACTCCTGCTTTCTTTCTTGACCTCCCTTCTGTTTATTGGTCACCCCATGAAAATGACCTGTCTCCTTCAACAAACCATTTTCAGTGTTTTTTTTTCAGTTGCCATGTCTTCCTTGATGACCAAGACTGTAATGATGATGGTGGTCTTCCAAAGTACAGAGTCTAACACAATATGAGACTGAAAGTCCATTGTAGTAATAAACTGTGGGTATGATTTTGTCTTGCCACTCAGGGTTTTCTATCAGTTTTTGGTGACACTTGTCTTCAAACCTGGTGGAAGCCTCATAGCACAGAGCTCACTAGTGGAGTCTGTTAAGACCCACAGCTGGCCCATATATTTGGAGTCCATACTTTGGAGTCTACATGGTGGTGCGATTCAACTAATGTAACAACTGGTTCGGTGAGAGTGCATGCATCAAACATGCGCTTTGCATGCGCACACAGCATTTACAAAAGACAATTTTTAGCTATAATACTTACCTTCTGCTGCAGCCCTGGTGAGTAAAACAGCTGATGAACAGCAAATCACTCTGCCGTGAGAATCAGCTGTGCTCAAAAACAGGGAAATAAACCACAGGAACAGGGCAGGGGTGGCTGAGCAGGGTCAAATGATCATCAGAACTAGCAGTTCACCCAACCAGTCTGAACCAGTAGAAACCCACCCCTGAATCTACATCTTTGGAATCTAAGCTTCAGATTAATGTTCATCCTTGAAGCAATTGATTGTCCAGACAATATATATAATTAATTTATACTCCATTAAATGGTTTTGGAGGATGCAATGGAGAGAGGTCTCAGATGCACACTTAGCAGAAGGACTCATACCTGCGCATCATATGGCATTGGCCATGGGCTCAGCTCATGCTATTTAGCCATTCACCTTCAGCTATTGTTGGTATTGTACTGATATAACATCATCTCTTGGTTCCCTATTAGTTTTCCTATCTAAGAAACAGAAAATATCACCACACCATGAAGAAGTCAGTAACGAGCTATTTTTCAGATTAATACACCAGGGAATTTTGACTAGATCATCTTTGTAACTAGGAAGACTGATAGTAGTCCACATTTTGAAAGATAGAAAACATGTAACAGGGGTCTCCAATAGGTTGCTCAATATATCATGATCTGGAATTAACCATTCTAGAGTATCTAACCTTCATTGAGAAAGATGGCCTCATCCACATCAGAGAGAATAAGAAGGAAGTATAATGGCCAGAGGTGGTATTCAGCAGATTCTGACCTGTTCAGGAGAACCGGTAGTGGAAATTTTGAGTAGTTTGGAAAACTGGCAAATCCCACCTCTAATGGGAGATTTTACAGTATCCTTCCCCTGCCATGCCAATTAAGCCACACCCACAGAACGAGTAGTAAAGAAAATTGAATCCCACCACTGATAATGGCTCATGGCCTAGTTCAAGAACATTAAAACATTTTAAGCTTTAGAATCGGTGGTGGGATTCAATTTTTTTTTACTACAGGCTCTATGGGTGTGGCTTGGTGGGCATGGCAGGGGAAGGATACTGTAAAATCCAGTCAGAGGTGGTATTTGCCAGTTCTGCGAACTACTCAAAATTTCCACTACCGGTTCTCCAGAACTGGTCAGAACCTGCTGAATGCCACCTCTGTTTAGAATATCAAGAATAAATTTGCAGACTAATAAACAATCAAACTTCCCTGAATTGTTCCTTTCTTGATTCTCAAATTAGAATTATTCTCCTGAGTAAAAAAAACCTCTTTTCTCCAACTGCCCACTTTTGCGGCAATGTTCATTCCAAATTCCCCTTCTCGTTTTAAAAACCATTATTATTTAGTCTCCTTTGGGATTTCCACCACCACAGTTAGTTGCCAATCAATGTGACAACCAATGGGATAGACAGCACCTGATAATCTGATTTGTAACCGCCTCCTTCAGTGATGAGGGCAGAGGTTGGAGTAAAGCTGGACAAATACTATAGCAGTCTAAAAGTTGGAAGATAAAACTTCCAAATTTGGGTGCAAACTGGATCTTCCTCACTGTAATTGTGGTCTTCTGTGATCTCTGAGATTTAACTCTGTGCTGAAGAAAGAAATGTAGGAAGGATCTCTTGCAGGATATGTGAAATGTTGCTGCTGCTGCATGTACAGCTTTTTCTGCTTCAGCTTCTGTCTCAAATTCCCTGTGCCAGTATGCTGATGAAATGTCCATTTAAGGTGATAATAGAAGAAAAGGAATGGTTCCATTACTACAAACCAGGAGACTATTGGATTACTGGAATAATGTCTGGAATCTCAGGTCGATTGTACCAATTTTCGTTCTCAAAGCCTCCAACTCACCAACTGAAAAGGTAATTGTCAGCATGTCCAGGATTCTGGTGATTGATTTTACCTGCTCCAATGTTTTTTCTAGGAATGATTTCACTTCTCCTATTCCTCACTTTGAGAGAAAAGCAAGCCATTATTGCTCATCCCAATTTCCTTGAGAGCAGGGGTCTTCAAATGTGACAGCTTTAGGACTTGTGGACTTTAAATCCCAGAATTCCTCTTCCAGTTATGTTAGCTCAGGAATTCTGGGAGCTGAAGTCCACAAGTCTTAAACTTGTCATGTTTGAAGCCCCTTGATTTAGAGTAAAGACTCCTGGGGAACATGATGATTTTGTAAAACCTGAGTTTGCAAAGTTCCTTGTAAGTTCTTCCACAAGTGTCAGCCTCAACACTGGGCAACACCTGGCATTGCCAACACTGTCCCATGATGAATCTTGCCTGGATGGGTTCTGCCTGCTTTCATAATTATTGCCTTGGGACTGTGGAGTCAGCAACATATTTATTCATATTTATTTTATTTATTTATTAACAATAGTTAAGCAGTAACTCCCAATAAAGTGATTGAATGAATACCTTAGAACAGAGTGAGATCTCTTGTATTTTCTCCCCACTGTTTCTTCCCCTTCCTTACATTTACTCTATAATTCCTACCACCCTCTTGACTCTTTCTTTCTACTCTTTAACACTTTTGTGGCTTCCCTATTCCTTTTGGTTTAAATAAAATACATTTTAAAAACCAAACTCAAGGAGGGGAGAGACTTTATGTGATAAGTTAATGTTTAGTCACAGAGGAATCACATTTACTGTAGTTAACTGTAGAATATAGGACAATAACTCTAAAGCCATGAATATTCTGTAGCAAATATCTAGGTTTAAAAAAGTCAGATAGGTAATACATCTTGCTAATCCAGCACTTGAATCCAGATGTTAGTCATCTCCAGGGTGGTATAATAGGAAGAAATAATATAATATAATCACAACGTACACAATATACACTTGGTAAAGACAAAGGTTCCCCTCGCACATATGTGCTAGTCGTTTCCGGCTCTAGTGGGCATTGCTCATGTCCATTACAAAGCCAAAGAGCCAGCGCTGTCCGAAGATGACTCCGGGGTCATGTGGCTGGCATGACTAAATATTGAAGGCTCATGGAACGCTGTTACCTTCCCACCAAAGTTGTCCCTATTTTTCTACTTACATTTTTACATGCTTTCGAACTGCTTGGTTGGCAGAAGCTGGGACAAGTAACGGGAGCTCACTCCATTGCAAGCTGCTAGGGATTTGAACCGCCAAACTACCGACTTTTCTGATCAATAAGCTCAGTGTCTTAGCCACTGAACCACCACATCCCTATACACTTGGTAGCATCCCTTGATAACATTCTGGAAGAGTGAGAAGATACATATTTGCCCCACAAGCATTGGACTAGGAATGGGGGATGGGAGCTGTGAGCATATGTAGTCTGGGGCTTGTGGGTAAGGATATGATTTTAATTACATTTTATGGATTGTTGTGAATTGATATGAATGATATACTAGCTTTTCAAATAGGTAACTCAATAAAATAAACACTTTGGTTTTGCAAAAGTTTATTCCAGCAGATTGAAGCAGTTACAATAGTAAGAAACCTTCACACTTTCTTTTTGAGTAAAATGTTATTATTACTATTGTAACTATTTTCCTTACCTGGCTACTGAACTATAAGAATAATTTTCCTCATTTTTCCCTCCCAAGTCATAATTTGGAGAAATGTATTGGCAGAATCAGTTCTGGTGGTTTTGATAGGATTCCTTTCATCCGTACATAATGAGCTTGCTATCTCTCTCTGATATTTCTTTTGGCAAGAAGCTTCTAGTGGTTGAATTTCTCATAGAAATTTCAAAAATGTTTTATCACCTGCAAAGTCCAAATAAATGGAATAGTTTAATTGAGTAATGAGTATCTGATTATCTTTTTGGCATTGCACTATATAGATATAAAGCTACAGTAAACATGACATGCTTTCATGAAAATTCAAACTGAAGATTTATTTATTTATTTATTTGAATTTGTCAAACAAAAACAAGAACAAGAATAAGAGAATAAAAAATACAATGACAGGGACGTTTAGTGCACTTATGCATGGCCCCCTCTACTGACCACTTAAATATGATGTAAGGTCCACAGAAGTCAATTTGTGACTGAAACTGTGAAAATTTGTAGCTTAGACAACCGAATCAGGTAGGGCATTCCAGACTTTGACAACCCCATTACAGGAATCATATTTCTTTACAGTCAAGTTTAAAATAATTTACGTTGAATTTAAAGTGGTTGTTTGCGTGCCTATTATTGAGATTAAAACAGAAAAAGTCAGTTAGAAGTAAAACATTACTACATATAATTTTTGTATGCAATATCTAGGTCTGACCATAAGTGACACAGTTCTAAGTTATCCAAACAGAGAATTTCGAGCCTCATAGCAAAAGGAATTCTACTGTGTACAGAAGAGTGCAAGAGTTTCTCGTGAAATACTTCTGAATCCGCTTGATTATACTGATGTCAGATATATGGTGGGGATTCCAAACAGTTGAACAACACTCTAAGATTGGTCTAGCATAAGTTTTATAAGCTCTAATTAGCAATACAATGTTTCAGGAAAAAAAGCTTCATAAAATTAAGTTTACAACTCTTAATGCCTTTTTTTAGCAATGCTGTTACGGTGAGCTTTGGAGCATAAATAATCAGAGATAAATACACCTAGGTCCTTAATAAGGTGAGGGTCATTTGCTAGATCAATGCCACCTAGCTTATACTTGACATTCTGGTTATGTTTACCAATATGTATGACATAGCATTTATAAATCGAAATTTGTAGTTGCCAAATAAATGACCATTCAGACACATAGTCGTGATTCCTTTGCACAACAGAATTATCTGTAGAATAGAATAATTTTATGTCATTGGCAAAAAGAACGCAATTGCTTTTAAGTTGATCACATAAATCGTTGACATAGAGCAAAACAAGATGATGAAATTTCTTATGTTGCAGTGAGAACACCTTCTACCACATTCTGCCCTTCTTGTTGGCTGTTCATGAAGTCAACCAGAATTCACAACTCTTACCCAACATCACCCTGGGCTACAACATCTATCAGAACTTTTTCAGTGCAAGAATGACATATGAGGCCATGCTGGATGTGCTGTCTATGGGACAGGAGAATGTTCCAAACTACAGATGTGGAAGACAAAAGAACTTGCTGGCGATTCTTGAAGAGATGGATTCTGAACTCTTTGATCATATTTCCAATGTCTTGAGCATCTATAAAATTCCACAGGTATAAAGCCAAATGAAATTAATTCTGTATTGTAAATTGTTCAGATTTGCCTAGAAGGCAGCACTTGTATATATTTTTCCAAATAAATTGAAAGTCAGAGAGTAAATATTAGAAGAGCTGAAAGAATTTTTAATTCACAAAGTGTGTGTGTGTGTATACATACATATGTATATAAGGTAAAGGTAAAGGTTCTTCTCTCACATACGTGCTAGTGGTTTCTGTCTCTAGGGGGTGGTGCTCATCTCCATTGCAAAGCTGAAGAGCCAGCACTGTCCAAAGACATCTCCGTGATCATATGGCCAGCATGAATAAATGCTGAAGGCTGTTACCTTCCCACCAAAGTGGTTCCTATTTTTCTACTCGCATTTTTACATGCTTTTGAACTGCTAAGTTGGCAGAAGCTGGGACAAGTAACAGGAGTTTACTCCATTATGTGGCACTACGGATTCCAACTGCTGAACTGCTGACCTTTCTGATCGACAAGCTCATTGTCTTAGCCACTGAGCCCCACTTATTTGTGTGTGTATGTGTGTGTGTATGTGTAAACACATACATGTATATATATATACACACACACACATCTCCTAAGAGAGACACCCCCAAAAAACAGAGACACAGAACAGGACAATGGTATCACCCTCCTCCCCTACATCAAAGGCACCACAGATAAAATCAGCAAAATTCTCCACAAAGACAATATCAGGACAGCCTTCAGCACTGACCAAAAAATAGCCAACATCCTAAAAAACCCCAAGGACAAGATCCAACTAGAAAACCAAGGAGTTTATGAAATACCATGCAACAATTGTCCAGCCACATACATTGGACAGACCAACAGGAGAATAAGTGCACACATCGCAGAACACAAGAATGCAGTCAGAAAGGAAGAAAATACTTCCTCCCTTTTCCAGCACCTTAAAGCCACAGGACATGAAATTAATTTTGAGGGAACCAAATTTATCTCCAATACTGAACACTTCAACAAGAGCATAATCAGGAAAGCCATCGAAATAGAGAAACAACCCCATAACATGAATAAATGGGACGAAACCTCCCACTACCAGACATCTGGAAGCTAGCCCTTATCAACACATGAGTCCCAACCACGAAAACCAACACCGGACCCGAAACAACACATGATGCCACCGCCAATCTCCTTCACCAGACTCAAACCCAAACCCATTCCATAGACAAAAGGCAACCACCGTCCTGAAACCAGACCATGGCTGCATCATAAGGTGCCACACAACCTGACCCCCAAACTAAGCAAACTGACACATGCCATAAACACATAGCCAGACCTCAAACTCGGAGCCAAACCAAAACCCGGAACATCACATCACAGCCATCTGCTCAGGGTATCACATCATGGAACTCAGGAGGTTACACCACAAAACCTCATGATGTTGCAACACAGCAATGACCCAGGAGATTACAGCACAAGACCCAGGATGCCACAACAATAGAATTCAGAAGGTCATCACACAGCCCATTACCCAGGTCGTTACAACAATAGGAGGCTGATAGACACACAACCAGTACCTCAGCCATGCAGGTTCTTATGAAAAAGCCAACCAATCTGCAAACATCAACTCCATCAACCAATCAAGAAATAACAACAGAGCCAACCAGTCCGCTTACAACAGAGCCAGCACACCACACCTCCCCACCAGTATTTATAGAAAGATGGCAGCTCCGATCATGCTTTGCTTGCACAAGCACGAAGCCGAAAGCACCAGCCTGAAGATGGCGAGTGGGACCTCATCGAAACATCATGAAGATACTCTCAATCTTACATGGGAAAAGACCCGAACACACCAAGACCTGCACACACATATGTATGTATATACCACACACACACACACACACACACACACACACATATGTGTGTATATTCATTGTATTGGTATATGTGTATCTGTATGTGTATCTGTATGTGTATGTGTATGTATATGTGTATATATATATGTGTGTGTGTGTCTGTCTGTATGCATATGCATTGTATATATGTGTGTGTATATATATTCGTAACTTGAGGATCCGTTTGATTGAATCAAATTAAATAAATGTGATCCCTCCCTGATTTGCCCAATGCAATTGCTAATTGAATGCACAGGTTGTTAAATGCAAATGAGGGATCTCAGAGTAGGGAAGCCCATGCAGAGCCTATTGTTGGAAGAGGCCACCCAAAACCTCTCCTGATACCTCAAACTCACTTACAATCCCTTGGGGCCCCCATAGTTCCTCCCCCTGCCCCACATCCTGCTCTGGGTCTCCACAGGCACTGGGTCTGCTTTGTTAGCCTCCTGGATCCGTTTCCATCCTACATCTCATTTCCCATGGATTGCTTATTTTTTTGAAGATCTCCAGAGCTCCAGAAGAGGCTGGCCCACTGGAAGAGAAGCTGAAGTGTTTTATTCAAATGGTGGTGAAGCTATAAGAATGTGAAATCTAAGGAAAACATTTTTGCCAGCTTCTGGGTAAAAGAGTTTGGCTTCGGGCCATGTGGCCAGCAGGCCTCTGGTAGTAGAAAAGGCCTTGGTGTGACCATTGGGAATTTTGAAAATGATGACTTTTGAAAAGCAAGACTTTGTCATCAAACGTACGAGGGTTGGATCAGTGACTTTTAAACATTTTGAAAATTTAGTGACCAATACAAAAAAGATTTTTTTTTCTGCAGAATCATAGAATAAAAAGTCCAGCTCCTTACATAGAGGAGGAATGTCAGACCACTACAGACAAATTACTGTCTAATTTTTCCTTGAAAATATCTAGCAATGGAGCTCCAGGAGACAGGCTGTTCCAACTCCTAATAACTCTCACAGTGAGGAATTCCTCATTTTTGTAATCTTGAGACTGAAGTAAAAAATTCAAAAGAAAAAAAATGAACAAAAAAATGAATAGGTCAAGATAGCTAGAGGGCACCTCCAGAAAGCAGCTTTTCAATACTTTCTCTAGAGTACAAGACAGAATAAAATATGTCATAATATTCTTTCCTATTTTGAACTGCTTGGCACAATGCCAGTTGTTTTGGGGTTTGTTTTTAAAGTGAGGTTATTAAACTGATTCCTGCATTTCAAATGTCTGAAATAAATTCAGGCAATTAAAGAGTTTATATAGAAATATTTGAAATCAATGATATGAATGAAGACAATGAAATAATACACCAATGTTAAACAATTGCTAGGGAGGAGATGTAACAAACAATATTTCAAGCCCAACATATGAAATATAAGCAGCAATAATCTATGAGAAATTAATATGTTTGTCAGTTTAAAAAGATATTCCATGATATTCTATTTTCTAAATCACCTGTAGGCCAGACAAGAAATAATGGATGGAAACTGAACAAGGAGAGATTTAACCTGGAAATAAGGAGAAACTTTCTTTCTTTCTTTTTTAACAAATTTTATTCAGTTTTTCACATTAAAAACAAAAATCTCTTTTTAGTGGACAACATATTTCCGGGTCATCACCTTTACATACAAATATGACAGCAATTATACATTCATATATGCATATTTAATTCTATTATTACCTTTTCCATTCCAAATTTTCAGTAAGGAGAGAAACAAACGCATTAATTCTAGCCTCTTTCATTAAACATCTTTTTGTTTCATTTCAATTATTTCAAATATAATCCTTTAATATTTATTTTAAAAATAAAGATAAACAATATGTGTTTGCCTAATAATAATAATGATGATAATAATAATAATAGGTTGCCAATGTCTCTCCTTGCTTTTAATAGTCTATATTGACTTATTAATTTAGTTGGTTCTTTAGTCTGTCATATTCCCTTTCCATTACACATTCTTTTTATAAATTCTAAATTAATACAAGTTTTAACACTAAAGAAAAAAAACAAGTATAACTTTTCCCCCTTTTACTGCTTTGAGTGTGACACCTCAGTAGTTAAAATATACCTTTATTCCCTCATCTTGATTCCCAATAAACCATTATTTTTAAGAAGTTACAATAATAATCATTACATCTTTTCATTTGGATTCCGCAGCATATTTCCCCCCCTTAATTTTTAATAAGAGTTATTAATATCTATATTACCCTATTTTCTAAATATTTTTAATTGCAGAAATACTCTTATTACCCCTTGTCACCTTGCAGAATCCCCTTTTTAATTCATCAACCATTATCTCTGAAAAACAATTTCTTTTCAACATTTTACTATTTCTGTATTTCTTTATTTCATGCGCCTGTTTCTTACTGCTTCTCCTCCCCCTCTTTTCCCCATATCTTTTCTCATTCCAGTTTATATCCCTCTCTTTCTTAATATCTTCCTTTCCCCTTTTCTGCTGGGTCTTTCTGTCTTTCCCAACTTCACAGGTATTCCCCCTTTTGATTGCCTTCTTAAGTCTCAACTTTTTAACCTTCCTTCTTTCCCCACTTCTTTGCAGCGTTCTTTGTGTTAATTGTCTATTTAAAATGTCTTCTCCTTGAGTTGACTCCTCCTCCTCTGAAGCTTTTTCTTCTTGTTCTTCAATCGCAATTTCCATTTTTTTATAGCACAGAACAAAGTGATTCGCCTCTTTCCTGTAGTAATTCTCTCATTTTTAAATTCTCATTTTTAAGTTCCATTTTTAATTCCCGAAGAGATATCATCATTACACACTCTTGTATTTTATGATTGTTAAAGTCCACAAAAAAAACACTTTTACTTTCCTTCTTTCTTCTTTCAATTTTCTAAAGTCCTCAATTATTCCAGCCCAGGGTCTATACCAAAAACATCAATCAATCCCACAGTCAGTCTTTCCTTGCTTTTTTCTTTATTTTAGTTCTGCTTTCACTTTCTAAGATTCTTACTTTGTTTCAATATTTCTTTAATATTATATCCACACAACATTCAGAAACAGGATGATTGAGCTCAAGTTTTTGTCAAAAGGTGGCACTCTCCATTATACAAAGTCTTCACCTTTTCCCCCTATTGTTTTATTTAGGGTTTTTCGAACCTCAATATTCCAACACAGTCCAGTCTCCAATTTGTAAACTTTATTATTATTATTTTTTGACAATCTTAAGTCCAGCTTTATTTTATGCCTGTTTATTGCCAAAATATTTTAGTCCAATTTAGTTCCGGCTTCTTCCTTTCCCAGTGCAAAGCCCTGCTTAGCTATCAGAAATACTTTCTTATTTTTTTTCCTATCCCTTTGTAATTTCGCCGCCCACTTTTCTTTTCTTAAAAATTCCATGTTACCTTAATTCCGGGGTATTTTTGTTTAGTTGTATCACCCAATTGTCCTGGTTCAGATGTTATCCACCTCTTTCTTCCCTCCTGCACAAATCTTAATCCAGCTGAGTCCTCCTCTTCGGGGTGGCCATTTTAAACCACCGCTGCAGTCGTCTTTAGGGGAAAAAGACCAAGCCCAGGAGGGGAGATGTGGCTCCCCCCAACCTGGCTTGTGGCTTCCCCTTACTCCACCGCCCCTCCAAGGCAGCTTCAGCCCCTAATCATAATGATTGGGGATCTCCAATGAAAGAGCACAGACCATAGCCGCAGAGAGATGCGATCTACAGTCTGTCAGTGAGGAGGCTCTGCCTTCTTCCAGGAGAAACTTTCTGACAGTGAGAACAATTAACCAATGGAACAGCTTGCCCTCGGAAGTTCTGGGAGCGCCATCACTTGAGACTTTACCTAACCCTAACCCTAACCCATTTGTCAGAAATGGTGTAGGGTCTCCCGCTTGGGGGGGGTGTGTGGACTAGATGACCTACAGGGTGTCTTCCAACTCTGATTATCTGTTATCTGTTTTCTTGAGTGTATAGCAGTATTCCAGTATTTGAGAGGCTGCCACTTTGAGGAGGAGATCAATTTATTTTCCAAAGCACAAGAAGGCATCATTAAAAAATGTACCTTCTCTTTTATCTTAGATCAACTACAGTGTCATCAACCAGGTGGCTGAGCAAAACCATCATTTTCCTTTTTCATATCGGATGACCCCAAACCAAGAACCTCCTTACTCAGCGATTGCCCAGCTGCTCCTGCAGTTCCAATGGACGTGGATTGGCCTCCTTTCTCAGGACAATGAAAGAGGAGAAAAATTCAAAAGACGCTTGGAAGTTCTTGCTCTAAAAAATGGGATTTGCATTGTCCTCTCAGGAACTGTCCCAGAAGCAAATATGCAGACAAGTGCTGGAGAAACTCTCATGCAAGAAAAAAGGAAAATGTTCTATTCTCTTATCAAGAGTCAAATAAAAATTATAGTATGCCAAGTGGATGATCAGGCCTCAGGAATGTTAGCAGCAATAATACAAATAATTGATAGGACTAATACGTCCCTGGTGGGAAGGGTGTGGATTGCCACAACTTTGACAGCTTTAAGTGTAAGTATTTTTGATCTCTGGGTTGATCTCCAAAATAAACATGCTTTATTTTCCTTCCTCATCCAGACAAAGAGAAGGACACAATATTATGGCTTTACATCCTATGCATCTATGGTCGTATTGTATGGAAAGGAAGCATTCCAATGTTCTTATTCAAGTCCTCTGTTATCTAAGAAAATTTGGAAAAAATGCAGAGAAAAAGAGAATTGGGAAATCCCGCCCCATGATGTGATTGCAAGAATCCTGTCTCAGGATTCCTCCAGTATTTCCCAAATAATTCAAATTGTGGCCTGGGTCCTCAGTGCTGCCTCTTCTTCCCAATGGAGAAAGAGGAGAATGCAAATTGGATACCATCAACCACCCCAGATTGTACAGCCATGGCAGGTAAGTCTTCTCCTTTGAGGTTCCATTGATTCTCCCCTTCCAATTCCTTAATATTAAATCAGATGTCAAAAGGGGTGAGATATTCCAAAGAGCAGTTTCCCAGTTTGTGGTATTTGAGAGTGAGTGTCAACCCTGAAGCTGACCTAACCCAGGCCATTTTGACGCTTCAGGGTTGCCACACTAGAGTTGAGGAATAGGAAGGGGGAATAGAGATAACTGAGGTTTTGTAGCCAAAACAAAATATTTTCTCCTGGGAACCAAGGACATTCCCATCGATGGCCGAAGAGAGGATGAGTGAAGTCACCAGGCAACTGGATCACACCTAGGTTGGACCATATGACTGATTTTTTTGAAAAGGGGAGGAAAACTTTAAATAACTGATAACTATGGGAGCACTTAGAGTCAGATTTCACCAGCCTATGCCTATATGATATGTCCAATAAAACTTATATTTGAGGAAACTGCTTGCCTCAGAGTCCTGTTTGCTATGGGCCTATTACTTGGAACCCTAAATATCAACTCATAAAATATTTCTATGGTTTTTTCAGAGTTGCCAACAGAAAGGCAGTGCCGCAGATGGCAAACTGAAAGTGCATTCCGTAAATGTTTTCAAAGGTAGTAACTAAGTGACTGAAGTTTCTGCCGCGCAAAAATCTAACTAGAGAACATGATTGATGACTCTTGGCTATGGATGTGTTCCATTGGAGAACAGGAATTATGATACATCCAGGGGGTGGGGGAAAACCAGGGCCAAGTGTGACAATGAATTATGTGTCTCAGAGTTGGCTACACCCAGGCAGTGCTGGATATGTTAACTCCCAATAAATCCTTTTTAAGTTTTGGAAGTTTGGCTCGAGACTCATGATTTAAATGAGGGTAACTGCTGGAATCCTGACACTGACATTAAACCAACTCTAAATGTTTATAGGACCGAAGTTCATAGGACCTTTCCCCATAGTGACAGTGATCAACCCTGTTTCAGTAGAACTTAGACTCCCTCGCTTGTTAGGCAAAGTGGATCCGGTTTTTCACAGCAGCTTGTTAAAGCCAGTGGTAGCCTCCCATATCAGGCCACTAGATCGGGCAGCTCCAAAACCAATAGTAGTGCAAGGAGAAACACATTATGAGGTAAAGAAAATCCTAGATTCTAGATTACATAGGGGTTGCTTACAGTACCTAGTGCAATGGAAGTGGTACCCACTATCTGAGACTATCTGGGTCAAGAGCTGGGATGTAAAGGCAGACAGGGTGGTTAAGCAGTTCTATGATGAGTACCCCCCCCCCAAAGCCTAAGGGGGTGGAAGGGGAGGTTAGTGTGAACCTCCAGGGGGTGGAGGGGGAAGTTAGTGTGAACTTTGAGTAACCTCTCTATATTTTATTTCCTTTGCAGAAGGTCTCCTTTGTTTAAGGGGGGGCTGCCTGTCAACTAAGGTCGTTTTGATGCTTTAGTGTTGCCACACAAGAGCTGAGGGATAGGGAGGGGGGAAGAGAAATAGCTGGGATTTTGTAGCCAAAACAAAATACTTTCTCCTGGGAACCAAGGACATTCCCGCTGATGACTGGAGGGAGGATGAGTGAAATCACCAGGCAACCGGATGACACCTTGATTGGACTATGTGACTGTTTGCTTGGAAAGGAGAGGAAAATTTTAATTAACTGAAAACTATGGGAACATTTAGACTCAGGTTTCACCAGCCTATGCCTATATGATATGTCCAATAAAACTGATATTTGAGGAACCTGCTTGACTCAGAGTCCTGTTTGCTAATGGGAGTATTACTTGGAATCTTGACAGTGAGTTAGAGAGACATAATAGAGAAAAATCTTCCAAAGTTAAAGAAATGTGCTAGTTTGGGATGCTTTTGTGACAGAAAGAGCTCTATGCTGACAAAAGATAATTTTCAAAATTAAACAATCATCAAAATAGTTCAGCAATCCTAAACCCTTTATTGTATTCACAAAGTGATGTAGTCTCCAAGTGAAGAAGTTCAGCTGGGTCGTTTGTTCTGGATTAAAATTGGAATTTGCTGGATAAAAATTTGTAACATAGCAAAAAGGTATAAACCAAAGTATCTTCTGGGGGCAACAAAAGGTTCATCCACACATCTCCTGAACTAATGGATACGCTTCCATAACTACTCTGTGAAAGAGATAACATTGCTGTGCAATTTTTGTTACTTTCCTAGCCCAAAGTTAAACTCGGCTAACTTCATCTTGATCAGGACTGATGGTAAAATTGTATTCTCCATCTTCTCCCATGACAAGGTTTCCCATATCTACAAATGGTGTTGCCTCAGATGGGCTGTGATGGTGAAGCAGCAAAACATGGAACACAAAACATATAATAATAGAGTTTGAAAGGACCTCAGAGGTTTCCTAGTCCAACCCACTAATCGAGCAGGACATCCTATACCAGGGGTCTTCAAACATGTCAGATTTAAGATTTGTGGACTTCAACTTCCAGAATTCCTCCTCCAGTCATGTTAGCTCAGGAATTCTGGGAGTTGAAGTCCACAAGTCTTAAACTTGCCAAGTTTGAAGACCCTCGCCCTATACCATTTCAGACTAATGGTTGCCCAGGTCTCTTTTTGAAAGACTCCAGTGGTGGAGCACTCACAACTTTTGAAGGCAAGCTATTCCATTGGTTGATTGCTCTCACTGCTCAGAAATTCCTCTTAGTTGTAGGTTGCTTCTCTCCTTCGTTACTTTTCAACCATTGTTTCTTGTCTTGCCTATTGGTGCTTTAGGAAATATTTTGACTGCCCCTCAAATGTTATAAAAGTGATCTCATGTCTCCCCAGTTCTTCTTTTCCTTAGATTAGGCATACCAAATTCCTGTAACTGTTCTTGGTACGTTTTAGCCTCCAGCCCCCTAATCATTTCATGTTGCTCATCTCTGCAGTCTTTCCAGAGTTTCCAATAGCTTTTTTATATCGTGTTGATGAGCAGAACTGGATGCAGTATTCTAAATGTGGTCTTACTAAGGCTTTGTAAAGCGATATTAGAACCTCATGTGATCTTGATTCTATCCCTCTGTTAATGCGGCCTAGGATTGCATTGGCATTTTTGTCTGCTGCCACACATTGTTGGCTCATATTTAAGTGATTGTCCACTAAGACTCCAAGATCTTTCTCACAGTTACTGACATTAAGCCAAGTTTCACATAGTCTGTAACCTATACTATTGGTTTTTCTTGCTCAGTGGAAAACCTTACTTTTATCTATGTTGAATTTCAATTGGTTCAATTTGTCAAGATCTTTTTGGATTTTGAATTTGTCTTCTGGGGTGTTGCCTATTCCTGCCAGCTTAGTTTTGCCTGCAAGTTTGATGATTTGAAGAGGTTGAATTATTCAGAGTACCTCCAATCCAAAATAAAGCAAGAAAAACATGGAATAAAGGCTCAAATTGTAATAGTTTTTTCTATGTTCCGGCAGCTTCATAGGTTCCTGAGGAACTTCCAACATTGTAATATTTCCAGAGATGGGATTTCTTTTGATGAATATGGAGTTCCTGTTGGTGACTTTGATATCATGCACTGGACATCAGTTTGGAACAAATCAGATGCGGGGGTGAAAATTGGGAGTGTAGAAAGCCAATCCTCATCGGAAGTCAAGATCTCTGTCAATCAAAGTGCCATCCAATGGCCAACTTTATTTAACAAAGTAGTTGAAGCTGCTTGGATTTTGCTCTTCTATTTATCTTCATATGTGTAAATTTTCTGCTCAGAAATAATTCTTATTGAGACCAACTGAGATAATTTCCAACTAAGAGAATTTAAAGCATCATTAATGTATTAGATATCATTTTACTTTAGAGGTCTTACAATTATCTATCACACACTGGAACCTGCTGCATTATATTGCAGTATTTGCAATCTACATTATTTAACAGGAATATGTTGCCATAGATTATAGTATATCAAATTATGTTTTGTTCAGTAACAGAAAATCCAGAATGTCTATGGAGATTGTCAGTCATCCAGGTCATGGTTGTGCCAAAGGTGCTTTTTCAGGACTTTGTTTTCCCTTGAAGACATTTCACTTCTCACCGAAGAAGCTTCTTCTGTTCTGACTGAATGGTGAAGGATGGAAGGATTTGGAACTGTGAAAAGACTGTCTTGTAAACAGGATATAGATTCAGCAATTGCAGGAAGGTTCCACACCCATTTGCACTATTCACGTGACTCTGAGGGCACAGATAAATTCCAAGGGGCCTCAACAACTTTCAGAAAGACTCCTAACGACCAGATGACTTGCAAGGAATATAAATCCTTCCATACTCCACCATTCAGTCAGAATTGAAGAAGCTTCTGGAATGAGAAGTGAAACATCTTCAAGGGAAAACAAAGATCAGTTGTATTTTGAAAAAGCACTTTTGGGAAAAAATCCAGAATAGGAAGGGTTTAGCCCACTGAATTGCATAAGAGGAAGATATTATTAAGAAGGTGGAGAGGGAAATGAGGGCAGCTAAAAAAAGCCATTTACATATGATGAAACAATGACCAGTTGTAGGACATAAAGATAGGGACTTTAGAGAAAGCTAGATTTTGAAGGTTTCCTGAGAAAGATAAGATGGAGAAAGAATATATACTAGTTATAGCATTCTCATACATGCCCTAATGAGAAACCCATTTTGCAATGGAACTACTTTCCTTTGGAAAGAAGAATAAGGCAACAAGTCTATTTTGGGATCTAAAATGGAGATTGATAGAGGAGAATGACCCTTCATTTGCCCCTTGCAAATAGAGTAATTAAAGTTCATGCCACCACTTCATGACTGATTTTGTTCAATGTGCTCCTGACTTTTGGAAGCCAGTTGATTTCAGTAAGCCTTATAATTCATACTAATCTTGTGGTTTAATTTTAAAAGTAAAGGTTCCCCTTGCACGTAGTTGCTAGTCGTTTCTGGATCTAGGGGGCAGTGCTCATCTCCATTTCAAAGCTGAAGAGCCAGCACTTTCTGAAGACATCTCCATGGTCATATGGATGGCATGACTAAATGCTAAAGGGGCACAGAACGCTGGTACCTTCTCATCAAAGTGGTCCCTATTTTTCTACTTGCATTTTTACATGCTTTTGAACTGCTAGGTTGGCAGAAGCTGGGACAAGTAACAGGAGCTCAATCCATTACATGGTGCTAGGGATTCAAAACGCCAAACTGCCAAACTTCTGATAGACAAGCTCAGCGTCTTAGCCACTGAGCCACCACGTCCCTTTATATATTGCCTCTAATTCATATATTGCCCTGATTAATCTTTTGGTTTATGCTTAGACGGTGCCTTATTCAAGATGTACAGAGAGTTGCTCCCCGGGTTATGTCATGCTTGTGAGAAAGGGAGCCCCAGTTTGCTGCTACAACTGTTCTCTGTGTATGGAAGGAACATTTTCTGGGCAAGAAGGTACAATAGGTGGCTTCAAAAACAACAATACATCAGGAGACAATCAAAATTCTCTATTGCTTTTTTGGGTATTTGATCAAGAAGCAATAAAGAACATTACACATCTTGAAGGCATCCACAAACATTTCAAAGATTGAGCACTATCACTGAATTTTTTACGATGATGTGAGCATTAAAATAAATAATGAAAGGTTGCTGCTTTCTATTGAGGTGCTTGGTTTCGTGCTTGGTTTTGGGAAAGAGGACAAGTTTTGAGAGCTGATAATCACATTCATGTTCGGCCTTTAAAAAGGCTGTTGATTATTTTAACTAATGTTGTATCATATGAATATCCCTGGGCAGAAATATTATATTATTGCTTAAAAATAAACTAATTGATTTCTAATTGATACAGCAGCAGAAAGAGATACACGCTAACCAATTTTTTTTCCAGATGCAGCCCATTGTGAAAAGTGTCCAGATGACCAGTATTCCAATAAGAAGCGGGATCAGTGTATCCCCAAAAGCATAAGTTTCTTATCCTATGAAGAATCATTGGGACTCATCCTGACTTTCTTTGCCATTGCTTTGTCCCTAACCACTGCCTTTATTCTAGGAATCTTCATTAAATACCGAGACACTCCCATAGTCAAAGCCAACAACCGTGAACTCACCTACGTCCTCCTGGTTTCACTCCTGTTTTCTTTCTTGACCTCCTTTCTATTCATCGGTCGCCCCATGAAAATGACCTGTCTCCTTCGACAAACCATTTTCAGTATTGTTTTCTCTGTTGCCGTATCTTCCTTGTTGGCCAAGACTATAATGGTGGTGGTAGCTTTCCTGGCTACAAAGCCAGGAAGCAGGATGAGGAAATGGCTGGGGAAGGGTCTGGCCCACTCGATTGTTTTATCCTGCTCTGGTATTCAAGTAGGCATCTCTATGACATGGCTGGGAATCTTTCCCCCGTTCCCAGATTCTGACTTTCATTCCCAGCCAGACCACATCCTGCTGCAGTGCAATGAAGGTTCAGTTGCTATGTTCTACACTGCCCTTGGCTACATGGGTTTTCTGGCTGCCATCTGTTTCTTGGTGGCATTTCTGGCTCGAAATCTTCCAGGGACCTTCAATGAAGCCAAACTGATCACCTTCAGCATGTTGGTTTTTTGTAGTGTGTGGATCTCCTTTGTCCCCACCTACCTGAGCACCAAAGGGAAATACATGGTAGCCGTGCAGATCTTCTCCCTCCTGGCCTCCAGCCTGGGTTTACTGGGCTGCATTTTTATCCCCAAATGCTACATTATTACACTGAGACCTGACATGAACACCAAGGAACATCTGATGATGAAAACTCATTAAAGCTCCTTGTGTTGGTGTTTATTTTTGTTCAGTTTACATGCAGTATAAAATCACATATCTTGAAGTAATGTTTTACGTGTTGTCACTTATCTTTCTTCATTCCATGTGAATCTTGAATTATAATAATTGAGTAGTTACATTGCTAAAACAACTCAAACTATTTCAATTAATCATATCCTTCAATTGTCACACTCTGAATTCATATTAAGTCATAACTATCATCAGTGACATTAATAAAATTGCTTAAACCAGGTGAGATAAATTGTTACCAGAGATATTCTGATATTGTTTTAGACTAAATTAAAGACTATGGCTAATAATGTGTGTTTTTGTTGCTATATAGGTTGGTGTTATATTTCATTTTCCGGGATGATGTTCCGACTATTAAAAAAACAGTTAATTTCAAAAATATATTTGATTGGTCTCTTCTGTCTGGATAATGTAAGATCACTCATAGATAGATAAATGAGTTAGATAGATGGGGTAGGTTGAGAAAGAGAAAAACCGAGAGACAGCTAACATTCCATATATTAAGAATAGATAAAATATCAACATGAAAATTGGAGCAACTTTAATCTTTTTTTGTCTAAATAAATTAATGAGACTAATTGTTATTTTTGACAGTCTTCAATCAAAAGAAAAATGTGTACAACTCTGAATGATTTTTCAGGGAAAATCATGTAGACACCTGATGTGACAATGAAGGTGTGCTTATGAGTATTAAAATTGGTTCCTGTTTTTTATCCATCTCTATATCCATAACTATTTCCATATACATATAGTGTGTGCCAGTGGTGAGATTCCAAATTTTTCACTACCGGTTCTGTGGGTGTGACTTGGTGGGCGAGGCAGGGGAAGGATACTGTAAAACCTCCCGTCAGAGGTGGTATTTGCTGGTTCTCCGAACTACTCAAAATTTCCAACCAATTCTCCAGAACTGGTCAGAATCTGCTGAATACCACCTCTGGTGTGTGCATGCCTGTGTGTCTGTGTGTCCTGCCAATTTAGCTATTCAAAACCATGTAAATGCAAGTAGAAAAATAGGTGCCAATTTAGTGGGAAAGGAACAATGTTCCATACATCTATGGTGTATAGTCATGCCAGCCACTTGTTCATGGAAGCATCTTCAGATAGAGCTGGCTCTTCATTTGTGAATCAAAGATGTGCACCGCCCCTTGAGTTGGTTAGTTGATTTGGACTGACGGGAAAATTTTACCTATATCTACCTAAACTTTACCTATAAATATATAAATTTGTTTTTGTGCATGTGCCTTTTCTTTGTCTTTTTGTCAATCAGCCCTTCGGTGTACTACAGATTAGGAAAGCTATGTCATATAAGTCAGTACTACTTTTATCTAACCTTGTCTTGGTAATGAGGTCTCTGCCATTACTTCTGCCTTCTACACTATGTCTCTTTCATTCAGGAAGCATTGGAAAAGCAAAGACCTTCCAAATGCAATTGAAATGTATTTTTATTCACATACTGAGCAGTTTCACCAATTATGATAAATCAGGATTCTAGATTGTCCGAATTTTGATTTCTGTCATTGTAGTGTCAAACCTACCATAGCCACTTCTAGGTTATCTGCATTGGTGAGAAACATTTCCTCCCTCCAATCCTTGACCAAATCAAAGTGTCCAGAGCCCAGCACTCAACAGGAATGAACTCAACAAGAATGAAATGGTATATGGTTTCCTGCCTAAGCAGAGGGTTGGGCTACAAGACCTCCAAGGTCCCGCCAAATTCTTCTATTCTATTCTATTCTATTCTATTCTATTCTATTCTATTCTATT